TCCGCTTGCTCATGATTGAATGATGGAAGTCGGCAGAGCTTCCCCTCATTTACTAAGCTCCGAAGCAACTGCTGTTGCAGAGTGCACAGTCTATTTGCCTTTAGTAAATCAACCCCAATTTGTGCACCCCCCAAAAACACCGACAAAGTCATCTGATTGAAATGGTATCATATAAGTGTGATTTTTATGTAGTATAGTGGAATGGTAAAGCTCAAAGCAAACATTTGCATTTTACTTTAGGTAAGCTTTATTCCCCTTTGATTGCTACATTATGTTGTGTGCATGGTAAAAAAAAATATCAGTTCTGCTAATTATTTACATGACAAGATAGGATCAAGTCAGGTTGGCGAGGCTACAATATAACATGAAGGCGACTTTTTCACGGTTTATAAATTACTAAAAATCAGAATAACATTGCATTCACACATGTGAAAAGTTGATGCTCATTCAGTAAACACAGGCGTCGTGACCTGGTCTTTCATTTGGGGAGGTAATAATTTGTATTTTTAAGGAAAAAAATATGTCTAACAAATTGTATATATTCTTTAAAGGAGATCCTTGATCAAGCCTCCCTCCCATGCAGCTGTGCAGTAACGGATCACCTCTAATAGTGATCTATTGCTGGCTGCACTCAATCAGCAGTAGAATTCTATAGCAGTGATCCATTGCTGCAGTTAGATGCCGGACAGAGCAACAACAACTCTTCCAGAGCAACGTATCCAGAGGACCTTCTACAAGATCTTCTATGAGGGCTGAGTAGCAACATCAGAAGCCAAGGAGCTGCTCGTTTGTAAACGGCTTTAGGGGCTCAAATACTTAACCTCTTCAAGCCGGCCGAACGCAAATGTGCGGCCAACATTCAGAAGACCTCCCGGTGTCTGGGCTAGACGCCGAGCCGCCGCACATTTGCGTTCTATTAAAAAAGAATGTATGTGCTGAGAGCGCCTACGCGCTCCCAGCACACATGTCCGGTATTCACGGAAAGGTCCCAATCTCCTCTTTCGATCGGGACCTTTCCCGATCATGTGACCGCCGTGATGGTGTGTCACGGCGGTCACATGACCCTAAAACCCGCCCCACCTTCTGGCTTCTGAAACCCTTAAAGGGCCGGGAGGAGCCGGCGTGAAGGGGTTAAAGTAGAACTAAAGGCAAAACCTTTTTTCCATTTTGGATAGAGTAAGAAGGGGTTATAACCCCTCACAGTTTTTTTGGCATTGGTAACCCATTGGGGAGATTTCCCAACACTTCATGTCTCAAATCAAAACAGGAAACGAGAGGAAATCTCTAAAGGTGGGAAAATCCTTGATTGTCATCAGGGTCATCAGAACTACGGCCACCATCAGAAGATTTTACCTCTATTCCTGTTCTGGTTACCACTCAAAATGTGGGATTTTCTTTCACTTTCACTCCTGCTTAACAAGACAAATACTTTTTTTGAATGAAACCAGTAGTAGATGCGCTGTGTCATAGATGCTATAGATTCATCCCTAGTTCCCATTTAAGCTATATCAGTTCAATAAATGAATAGACAGACACAACTTAGTACAGGGACCAGTTCACATCAAAGTAACAATAAGCGACTATTCAATGATACGGCCTTCAGGGATACTTCCTTACATGTTCCCTCTTGTAAAGTGAACTTCAAATACATTTCATGTAATTGAAAAACTCAATTCGTATTTTGTCTTACAATGGAGAACAAAGAATACGATCAAAGCTTGAATGCCCGTGAACGCACCTCAAAGACAGAGAGGTCTTCTAGCTCCTTGGGGTGTACAGTAGTTTTGGGTCAGTAAAAAAACAACAAAATTCTATTGTATATAGCTTGGATCAGCTATTCTAGTCCACAAGTACCAGAAGCACTTATATTTGGAGAATTACAGTATCTGATAAATAAAAACCTGGCTTAGACTCTGCTCCACTGTATCCACTTATTATGTGTTATAAACAAAATATTTTAACATGTTCGGTACCAAATCCAGTGACATTTACAGTAATTACAAAAATTTTATAAACATTTATTCAAAGTCATAGAAAGTCAGAAGTATCATATGCAATACAATAAAAACACACTCATATTGGCCAATAAATAAAAACAACTGGACTAAGCTTTTGCTCTCTAGATATTAGACAGTAAAGGAAGCGATTATAACTGTGATATATACTGGGTCCCAATGTCCATTGCATTATATGAAAAGTATAAAGTCCTTCTATAACAGCTTGTGTATCCCAGAATTCAGATTAACTGAGGGATTAATCCAAAAGATCCCTTTAACAGTTCATGTGTTATATAATTAAGACTAGCTTCAGTAGGCAATCATAATATGCATGTAAAATGGGTTTTATAAACAACAAATTTTGTGATGTGCTTACTAAGCTTCAGACCAGAGGTCATGTAACCCCAATGCAGGGGATAATGCAAGTGTTAGTAAGGTGTTCATCAACACTTGATGGTTCCAGCCTCAGGCCAAAAGGATGGTAACATAAGAAATAGTGTTATGAGCATAGTCCATGTATAGCACCAACTCCACCCAACCATGGAAGGAGAGGTAAGTGGCAATGTCACCATTCAGATAAAATAGGTGATGAATACTAATGTGGGAGGTGAAGGGCAAACTATCTTGTACACTCAGCTCTTATTCCTCAATTTTAGGCATACCTTTGATCGACTACTTGAGCCAAGTGCCCTTTAACCTCCCTAGCGGTCTGATTATGTCCATATTTCTGTGCTCAAAGTGGTACATTTTTTGCATGGAAATATGTATTTTTTTTATTGTAGGCTGTAATTTTTAGGAATAACTCACTGAAATCTGTCCAAACAAGAGTCTAATAAACATCCCCGGGAATGATAAAAACACGAAATCATAAAATTATAATTTAATAAATAATCATAAACAATAATAATATAATAATAAATTTAATTCAATAATATAATCAAACCAAAAACACTGAAATTTGAAATATAGCGCCAAGTTCGCACATCACTGAGCAAAGTCGCAGAATCGTTTTCAGTGTCTGATGACGAATTTCCCCCACGAATCATTATCACTCAATTCTGCAAGTGGTTCTGATTAACTATCGCTGTTCTCTAGCCGGTCTAAAACCGCTTTTGACTTAAAGGGACACTTTTTGGACGCCATGGACATTTCTCAGTTTCCAGGCAGAAAGAACAGTAAAAATGCAGGCAGGGCGCCGGACAAAGCACTCGGGACAAAATGTATGTGAAATGGTTTGATACAGGAATGTTATACTATGTGATTTTAGTGAATTTAGTGAATGTCACTTTTTGTCATTTTTCAAATTTCCGCCATTTCCATCCCCGTATGTTCCGACGCTCACAGAGGACGGAACCCAGGTGACAGATGCCGGCATCCGCCGGAGGATATTGCCGGAGACACTGCAGGAGGGACATCGCGGGAGCACAGGACAAGGTAAGAGAAGAGATCCCGGAGCAACGCTGCATGGTAAGCCCGAGTGTAGCTCGGGGTTACTGCTTGTGGTACTGAAACTTTACCCCGAGCTACACTCGGGAATATGGCCGGGGAGGCTACAGGATGACAACATAATAAAAATGAACACCCATAGCAGCATCCATAAATGAAGACTATAGTAATGTTGAATACCTATCTGTCCCCGTCATGGCCCGGCACCCACTGAAAGCAGAGAAAGGACAGGTCCAGAAAAAAGCTTGACTGGTTTCATTGGTCAAGCCAGCTGCCTCTAATGCAATACCATCCCTCCCCAGACTGATAATGCTGAAGTCCAAAGGTGCCCCTGTGCTCATTTATCCAGAGTGGGGGCGGTCTAATACAGGAGGTGTGTTACTGGCCAGATTACCAGGTGAAAACAGATGAAAAAATATACCTTAAAAATACATTTCTAATGATTGGTAAGCTGCAATATATTACATGTTTGGTCTTGGGTTTAATAATGCTTTAAACTCCCATTTGTATGCATGGGAGTTACATCATCCCACTTCAGCTAATCAAGATGGCCAGAGACCCACTACTTGAGGATTTTGGCAAGGGAGCTCCGAGTGGTCTTATTGTTGGAGCATAGATGTGTATTTGCAGACTTTTGTCCAATTTTTGCTAGGAAAGGAAGGGGTAGGAATGTAATCCAGTCAGGCCTTCGTGGCCATCTTGGTAGAGGCAGGGCTTTGCATCCTCATTTTAGAGCTGCCCACCTGAAGGATGGTAATTTGATAACTGGTGGAGGAATAATCAAGTAGAAACAGAACGAGAGGTGCAGAAGTCCCTGATCCACAGAATGGACGAGGCATTATCAAGGAAATCCTTGCACTGCTGGTCCTCAGATACAGCTTCTTCTCCAGCAAGAAGAACAGTGAGCAGCACTTAATCTCACTACAAATCTCCTGAGACTAGCATTTAGAGGCACACTGCCTTAGGCCTTATGGTGCAGATAAACAACTATGATACTCAAAGCACAGGTAAAGCATTACTATTTTCCAGGAGGAATTCAAGACATAAAGTACATTTTTTCAGGGTGCAGACACAATTAAAGCTGAAGCTTGGACCAATGTAAGTAAGCATATTTCATATTTGTCTGAACTCTGCAGAAGTGGAGAATAACTTTAGTTGCCACCACTACTACAGTGATCCTTACTGTCTCATGTACCCAGCAGCTACTTATTAACTACAGGAGGTCGTTTGCTCAGCATGAGGGCCATTCAGAGAATGTTTTGCATTTTCTCAGTGAATGCAAAAGGCTCTCTGATTAGAAGAGGCAGAGAGGCGGGGAGGTGACATCATGATCTTCACCTTCTCCAATCAGAGAATGCCTTTTATCCATGGTAAAAATAATACGTTCTTTCAATCATGCCTGATCCAAGGGAGCAGCACCCTATGGTTATCCCTATGGTCAACCAGGTATGGAATACACTATATTGCCAAACGTATTGGGACACCCCTCCAAATCATTGGATTCAGGTGTCCCAATCATCTCCATGGCCACAGGTGTATAAAATCAAGCACCTAGGCATGCAGACTGCTTCTACAAACATTTGTGAAAGAATGGGTCGCTCTCAGGAGCTCAGTGAATTCATAAGTGGTACTGTGATAGGTTGCCACCTGTGCAATAAGTCCATCCGTGACATTTCCTGGCTACTAAATATTCCACGGTCAACTGTTAGTGGGATTATAACAAAGTGGAAGCCACTGGGAACAACAGCAACTCAGCCACCAAGTGGTAGGCCATGTGAAATGACAGATCGGGGTCAGTACATGCTGAAGTGCACAGTGCGCAGAAGTCACCAACTAAAGACCTAATAGCTAAAGACCTCCAAATTTCATGTGACCTTTAGATTAGCACAACAGTGTGAAGAGAGCTTCATGGAATGGGTTTCCATGGTTAAGCAGCTGCATCTAAGCCTTACATCCCAAGTGCAATGCAAATTGTCCGATGCAGTGGTGTAAAGCACGCCACCACTGGACTCTGGGTTTGGCGGTTGCCAGAAGAATGGTACTTGCCTGACTGCATCATACCAAGTGTAAAGTTGGGTGGAGAAGGGATTATGGTGTGCGGGGTCGGGCTTGGCTCCTTAGTTTCAGTGAAGGGAACTCTTAAGGTGTCAGCATACCAAGACATTTTGGACAATTTCATGCTCCCAACTTGTGTGGGAAGAGTTTGGGGATGGCCCCTTCCTGTTCCAACATGACTGCGCACCAGTGCACAAAGCAAGGTCCATAAAGACATGATTGAGTGAGTTTGGGGTGCAGGAACTTGACTGGCCATCCCCCTGGCCGCTACCACCCCTAATTCATGCACTGACCATAAACCTCTAGAATGCCGCTAAAGAAGCCATAACCTCTAGAATGAAAGAAGCCAGCCATTCCTGCACCCTCCAGCAGCATGCAGCCTCCTCAGATCTCATGGTGGAGTTGATCAGGTCCCCATCCTTGCCACTTGCGTCCCTTCACCTTCTTCCAGGTGGAGCGCCGCCCCCCTGAAAACTGCCACCCTAGGCAATTTGCCTTACGGTAAATACGCTGCTGGCTGTTTTAGCTGCAAAGGGCGGGCCAACTCAATATTGAACCCTATGGACTAAGACTGAGATGCCATTAAAGTTCATGTGTGTGTAAAGGCAGGCCGACCAATACTTTTGGCAATATAGTGTATGTTTATTTATGTGGGACCAATGTTACTATGCAAGAATATCCATACCTGGAGTTCAGCTTTAACATTCCTAGATGTTCCCTATCATTCAGCAAATCCTCACTTTAAGAGTTCTGGTCCACTTTACCAGTTGTTCTATGTTTCCATCTAACAGCTTTTACTATCTGTTATTCCTTTTGCACTACATTATTTGCATTACATTATTAAATAAGACTCAACTAGGACTGAGACATTTTTATCGGGAAACAAAAGGAGTAATGATGATGTGAAAAGTGCAGAACACATCTTAGTCAGAGCAGTACCAATGAAATGTTTTTTATAAGCTTTCTAACAATCATATTTTCCTGCATGAGCAATGGTTTTCCCCATTTTAAATATACTTTTGTTAAATCCTATAATAATTCCAAACCACAGTCTTCTATTCTTAGTTCTGATTCACTCTGAACGTACATTTACTGACCAACTGCTTATTAAACGTCCCACTAGTAAAGGCATATCATAAAATAGGTATTATCTTTAATATCAGGCTTAGGTGTCATGATGGAGTCTAGCCTTAACAACATGGGTGTTGTCAGCAACATAATGGTCAGTTGCAAAGGCCAGAATTCTTCAGGAATGGTCCTTTGAACCATATTATCACTAGAAATTCTGAAGGACCCTCTGCACACTGGTATATACCCTTTCAAGCAGACTATGCAATAAATAGGGATACTTAGTTCACACATATTGCAATACATGCTTAAGCTGGCCAACTGCGTCAAAGTAATCCCTCTATGGCCAGTCCTACTCTGCTCTGCCTACGCAAATGCTACTGTGGACACAATGCTAACATAAGGGAAAAGACACAATGGGGAGAGCTACAAGGTTCAGGTCTGGCTACTGACCCAACAATACAACAAACAAGAGATCCCTGTGCTCAAATCCCAACAGCTAGTGCATGCATTTATCCATCAGGTGCTAAAGGGTCAGTAGCCAGACCTGAACCTTGTAGCTCTCCCCATTGTGTCTTTTCCCCAGTATTGGCATTGTGTCCACAGTAGCATTGCGTAGGCAGGGCAGAGTAGGGACTGGCCATAGAGGGATTACTTTGACGCAGTTGGCCACTTAAGCATGTATTGCAATATGTGTGAACTAAATATCCCTATTTATTTCATAGTCTGCTTGAAAGGGTATATAGCAGTGTGCAGAGGGTCCTTCAGCATTTCTAGTGTTAATATGTGGTTACACCCCTTTAGCACCTGATGGATAAATGCATGCAGTAGCTATTGGGATTTGAGCACAGGGATCTCTTGTTTGTTGAACCATATTATAACCCCTAAAAGTTGGACTAACAGCTAAACTGGTGCGCTAGGTGTCCACGATCAGAACAGAAATTTGCCACCTGTACAATCCGAAAAAGGCTCAGACTCTCTGCATCCCTCCTGGTAGGCGTGTCAACGTCACCAGATTCCATCCTATGCTTTATATCCAGAGGACTTAGTTGGGGACATGGAACATGGCCCTTTACATGGAACTCAGAGGCTTTGGAAATTTATTTTAAAGGACCTTTAAAAAATGTTTTAAGCTGCTTACACTATATGCTGCTTTGCATTTCCTCCTTATAGTATATATGCTGCCCCAAAAAAATAAAGGAAACTAAAGGAACACTTTTTAATCAGAGTCTAGCATCAAGTCAATGAAACTCCTGGGATATTGATCTGGTCAGTTAAGTAGCAGAGGGGGTTGTTAATCAGTTTCAGCTGCTTTGGTGTTAATGAAATGAACAACATATGCACTAAATGGGCAACATTGAGACGACCCCCAAAACAGGAATGGTTTTACAGGTAGAGGCCACTGACATTTTTTTCCCTACTCATCTTTTCTGACTGTTTTTCACTAGTTTTGCGTTTGGCTAGAGTCCGTGTCACTACTGGTAGCATAGAGGCGATACCTGGACCCTACAGAGGTTGCACAGGCAGTCCAACTCCTCCAGGATGGCACATCAATACGTGCCATTGCCAGAAGGTTTGCTGTGTTTCCCCAGCACAGTCTCAAGAGCATGGAGGAGATTTTAGGAGACAGGCAGTTACTCTAGGAGAGCTGGACAGGGCCGTAGAATATACTTAACCCATCAGCAGGACCGGTATATGTTCCTTTGTGCAAGGAGGAACAGGATGAGCACTGCCAGAGCCCTACAAAATGACCTTTAGCAGGCCACTGGTGTGAATGTCTCTGACCAAACAATCAGAAGCAAGCTTCATGAGGTGGCCTGAGGGTCCTGTGCTCACTGCCCGGCACCATAGAGTTTGATTGATATTTGCCATTGAACACCAGAATTGGCAGGTCCGCCACTGGCGCCCTGTGCTTTTCACAGATGAGAGCAAGTTCACCCTGAGCACATGTGACAGATGTGAAAGGGTCTGGAGAAGACGTGGAGAACGTTATGCTGCCTGTAACATGGTTCAGCATGACTGTTTTGGTGGTGGGTCAGTGATGGTCTGGGGAGGCATATCTATGAAGGGACGCACAGACCTGTACAGGCTAGACAATGGCACCCTGACTGCCATTATGTATCGGGATGAAATCCTTGGAACCATTGTCAGACCCTACGCTGGTGCAGTGGGTCCTGGGTTCCTCCAGGTGTACGACAATGCCCGGCCTCATGTGGCGAGAGTATGCAGGCAGTTCCTGGAGGATGAAGGAATTGATACCATTGAATGGCCCACACGCTCTCCTGACCTAAGTCCAATAGAAAACCACTGGGATATTATGTTTCGGTCCATTCGACACCGCCAGGTTGCACCCCCAGATTGCCCAGGAGCTTAGTGATGCCCTGGTCCAAATTTGGGAGGAAGTACCCCAGGACACCATCCGTTGTCTCATTAGAAGCATGCCCCGACATTGTCAGACATTCATACAAGCACGTGGGGGCCATACAAACTACTGAGCAACATTTTGAGTTGCTGCAATGAAATTTCAGCAAAATGGACTAGCCTACTGCATCATTTTTTCACTTTGATTTTCGGGGTGTCTTTGAATTTAGTCCTCTGTAGGTTGATAATTTGAATTTCCATCAAACAATGGGGCATCCTTTTATTCCTAACACATTACCCAGCCCATGTCAGTTTAGATATCCAGCAGGAGATTTTTTCCCATTGAGATCTGATGTGTTTTAAAAGTGTACCTTCAATTTTTTTTGAGCAGTGTAGTGCTTTGACAAAGCATATCACCAAAGATGTTTAAACCTGTATTGGGCAACAAGCTTGTTTGACCTTTCTTACGTAGGTTAATTAAGATCCATTCCAAAAAAGTCCTGGGTCCATTGGATATGGAGATTAACACGTGTGGCCGGGGCTAAATGTGTGGCCAGGTGAGCTAATGGCTTTTATGAATTTTCTGGTTTATGTAATGTATAATGAATAGTATAACAATACAGTGGTGATCCCAAGGTATCTGTGTGGCAATAAGACACTTTTCGCTCCATATGTAGTTCAAGTGAGTAGAATTACATGCAGCAGTACACACAAAAATTGCTTCTTTATACAGGTCCTCTCTGGCTTAAAGAATGCCTTCTCAGATGACACCACAGGGTACAAGAGTGCAAAAATGCATATGCAAGCTGGCAGAATGGTTCTCTCCAAACTGGGCAGGTTTGACCAACCCTAAGCAGACCCACCTCCACAATAACCTTTTCCATGCTTATCCTACCTCATCCTAACCATTGTGTACCTTTCCCATTCTAAGTACTCTCCACACAGCAGGGCCTCCAAGATTGACCCAACAGGAACTAAATATAGCCTCTCTACTTCCAATATGGCTGCCCAAAGCTCAAGAAGACACAGTGTCCAATCAGAGACAGGCTTCCCGAAGATGTCCGCCTGATGCCCAGTGCAGAGGACAATTCAGTCCTCTCCATGGTTTCCGGAGAGACAGGGATGAGCAACAATCATGTGATCAATGTGTTTACTTCTGGTCCCTATTGCAGAAGAGACCGAGCCATCTGTGGATCGTCGTCTCACTACCTGCTCTGCCACCTGCTCGAGCATTATTCCACTCGTCAGTACATCGCCAGCCGCACTGCAACACCCCCTTACACATGGTGGGTATGCATTAGTCCTCTTTGCACAGAGATGAGCAAGCATTGGGCTGCTCCATAAGAAATGTGCAAAAGAAGTTCATGACCCTTTTGCAAAATTGTGCCGCACTGTCCTGCATGGTGATACAGCAACATGCCTTTTTATTCAAATGTGCATCTGTAGC